AGGCCATCCACAACGCTCAGGAGGGCTGGCGTCGCGTGGTCGCTCAGGCCATCCTCTGGGGTATCCCCACCCCCGCATTCTCCACCGCTCTCGCCTTTTTCGACGGTTACCGTCGCGAGCTGCTCCCCGCTAACCTCCTCCAGGCTCAGCGTGACTACTTTGGTGCCCACACCTTCCGCGTTCTTCCCCAGTTCGCCAGCGACAAGCTTCCCGAGGGCAAGGACATCCACATCAACTGGACCGGCCGTGGTGGTAACGTCTCTGCCTCGTCCTACAGCGCATAAGCGTCCTACTAGGGGCTTTTGGTGCAACGGAGGCCGTTGTGGCTCTTTTCTGACTTGTCCAACGCTTCTGGCTCCATGAAGGGAGATTTTACGCTTCTACCACTATCCCAAAATCTCTCTGATCTGCTCTTGAATATGATAAAGTAATCCGCATGCACCCAGTGTGTTTCGTGAGACATGAGGCTGTGGTTCACAAGTATCTAGCGACGGAGCCCATCCCTGATCTTCCGGAATGAATGAGCCAGAAGAGCTCGAAAGAGGAAGACGATGGGCTCGTTTCTACGCCAATATTAGAGTCTAGCGATCGAGTACAAGCATCTCATAGGCCACAGGTTTGAGCCACAGATGGAACAGTAATAGCTGAGATGTCAGATAGGAACACGTCAAACCTGCTGAGAAGGAGGACATCGTATTCTTGTAGCCGACGTCGATCCTGATGAGAGGGTGTGGCATCGATGATCTTCTCCAGAGTTTGTGCATGTCAAAAATTGAAAATCTAAATTCTCAAAGAATTCTAGCTCCCTACTAGGGGGTTTCAGTTATCTCTGAGTTTTGAAAACACAATACTTTGAAAATATGTTTGGGCCCAATTTTTGACACCCCAAGAAACTGCACAGGCCTGTGACACTTGCATCTTGGAGTTTCACTTGACTCGGCTGGTAAAAAACAATCACTGATTCCCTACACCAGGTCAAGATCAAAGTGATCATATCAGACGTTGTTGAACACTATACTGAACAATGCCAAAACCTTTGATTGAAAAGCTAAAGCAAATAGCTTACATCACACCTGTTCTGATCACTGTCTTCTGCAAGCCTCATGCCGTCGGTTTTGTCTCTCCTGCCATTTGGTGAAGGCCAATGTTGTCATTCCCATCCTTTGAGATTCTGCTGTTGTGTCCTCAAAAGGGCGGCCATGAGAAGCAAAGAGTGCAGTGAGCATCTCCTCCCTAAGATCCAGTGCTTTCTCCTGCCTGAACTTCTGGACTCGGTTCTGAGACATGCCCTCCATGGCAGCAGCCTGTTCCTGTTTGTATTGCTGCTGGTTTTCCCTTTGTTGTATCCTTGCATCTTCGGTAGCCTGCTGATATGCTTCCATCCCTGATGTGGTCTCCAGCACTTCAGCTTCAGATAGATTTTCTGATGCCTTAAGGTACCCTGCCACCTCATCTGGTCGATCATAACAGCTTGCAAATGTATGTGCAATGATACAAGCCTGGACCGTATGTGCAGCTTTCTCATAGTCCTCTTCTCAATACAGGTTGCCTCGAAAACCCATGAGACATTGGAAGCAGTTCTTGAGGTAGGCAATGCCATGTTCGGCCTTGACACAAATGCGGGAGAGTGAATAGTTGAAGTAGTGGAGATCTCTGCTCTTTGCAACTGCAGTGTTGCTGTACGGTCCAACTGTGTAGCTGGAGTAGCCATAACCAGCATCAACCCAGACAAACTCGCCTTCATCAAGGTGCAAACGAGGCTTTGCAACAATACCACTGCCTGAAGCCCAGACTCGCACATCATGTGATGACCCAGGATGTCCAACCACTGACTCGACAATGTGCAAGGAATGAGGGAGGAAGACAAGGGCAATGTTGAATGTCTAATCACCCTTGTATGAGTAATGCTCGTGAGCATTGAGTGCTGGCTTCCAAGCAAGATTGATGTGTGTACCATCTACCACCAACCATCCTCTAGACCATTCCTCAACTCCACTCTTATCAGCAACCCATGCTTTTGCCTTAGCACGCTCGTCTTCAGTTGCAAAGGTTACTACCTCGCTGTTCAGCTTGTATAGGCCTGCAATATGTCAGGGGTCTCGCGCCTGAAACCTAGGTCGGTCTGTCGAGATACTCGGTGACTATCAAGCTGCGTGAGGACAGCGGGTGGCGTCCGTTGTATATACTATCATAGGTTTCGGCTGACCTCTGTGGACACTCTGTTCAGAGGTGGCTCGGCACGATCAATATCGATACGAAGGTGATGGTGAAGTTGGTAGTGGTGATGATACGGTTGGTGGCGTGGTTGATAAGGCTGGTGGCGTTGGTGGTAAGGTTGGTGGCGTCGACACGAGTGTCCAGTGTGTCGACTATCGCTTGAGGTGATCCCCGGACCGCAGTGGACTACTGCCTTCGGTTCTATCTATATCTGGACCGCTGGTCTGCTATGAACCACCTTCGGACGTCAGTGAGCAGTGATACAACACACGCGCTACAAGGAGTGGCAACCTGATAGATTGCAACTGCGCTGACTGTAACTAATGTATACTTATGCTTGAAGTGATAACTAGTTAATATGGTGAGTGTAGAGTGGATGAGGATCCACTCGACCTTTGATGATGAGGAGGTATGGTTATATACCTCTTCGCAGCGTCACCAGTGACGCTGCTCCTGCTCTCTCTCCAGAGAGTACCCTCTTCATCGAGTACTGTACAGGGGCCCCTCTAGCACCACTCCTGTCCTCCTGAGCTGTGTCGACTCCTTCGACACAGCTCCTCCTCCTTGCTGTCATAGGCCTAAGTACACAGGTAGCATGGAGGCTGTTGGTTCATAGGGGAGGAGCACAGGTACCAAGGCTCGGAAGAAGACCACCATAGCATGTATAGGGATGGTCGAGCAAGAGGCCAGAGGCCTAGCCGGTACCGGTAGCAGGTATGGTCGGAGTGCAACCTCCATGGAGAGTGCAGCCTCCATGGAGACCATGGACATGGAGGACCGGGCCGTATGCATGGTGGTCCAAGCACCGCCACAAGGAGGGCCAAGCTCAAGGAGCACACAGATGGTTCCCACTCAGGGGCTCGAGAAACAAGAGTCAAAGGAACCGTCACCGGTCAAAGGGAAGGAGCAGTGTATAGGAAACCGGCAAGTAGGTCCTGAGGAGGAGGAGCAGTGTCGAAGGAGTCGACACAGCTCAGGAGGACAGGAGTGGTGCTAGAGGGGCCCCTGTACAGTACTCGATGAAGAGGGTACTCTCTGGAGAGAGAGCAGGAGCAGCGTCACTGGTGACGCTGCGAAGAGGTATATAACCATACCTCCTCATCATCAAAGGTCGAGTGGATCCTCATCCACTCTACACATTCACCATATAAACTAGTTATCACTTCAGCATAAGTATACATTAGTTTCAGTCAGCATAGCAGCAACTATCAAGGTTGCTCCTCATCGTAGTGTGTGTGTTGTATCACCACTACCTGACGTCCGAAGGCGACCCATAGCAGGTCAGCGGTCCGGATAAAGATAGAACCGAAGGCAGTAGTCCACTGCGGTCCGGGGATCACTACAAGCATTAGTCAGCACACTGGACACTCGTGTTGACGCCACCGAATTGCCACCCACGCCACCAGCTTTATCATTACCAACTTTATCACCACCACCACCACCTTCATCATAACTGATGCATTGATATTGATCGTGCCGAGCCACCTCTGAACAGAGTGTCCACAGAGGTCAGCCGAAACCTACGATAGTATATACAACGGACGCCACCCGCTGTCCTCACGCAGCTTGATAGTCACCGAGTATCTCGACAGACCGACCTAGGTTTCAGGCGCGAGACCTCTGACACCGGTCTCCTATACACCGCTCCTCCTCCTTCGACCGGTGATGGTTCCTTTGACTCTTGTCTCTCGAGCCCCTGAGTGGTAATCGTCTGCATGCTCCTTGAGCTCGGTCCTCATTGTGGCGGTGCTTGGACCTCCTTGCATATGGGCCTAGTCCTCCGTGTCCATGGTCTCCATGGAGACTGCACTCCGACCATGCCTACTACCGGTACCAGCTAAGTCTCTAGCATCTCCTTGTCCACACCTAGACCATGGCCTGCCATGGTCGACTCTTCTGTGGATCGGCCTGATCCCTGACACCTATGCTCCTACCATACAAACCAACAGCCTTCTTGCTACCTGCGCATTCAGGCCCATGACAGATGGCTGCGAGCTGCAGAGATTTGAGTTGGGCAGGTAGAGACTTGGCGAGGCAAAGAACTGGCAGATGTGGTGGTGTTGGAACCAGAAGGAGTTGAGGAGGACAAAGGGGAAGTGGGAGAGGTTGCTGGCTGAGTTGACTCAGCCCCAGCCGAGGTGCTGGAAGTTGCAGAAGGGTGGGGCTGACAAGAGCCATCAAGGTTGGACTGAGCTGACATTGTGTTGTGCTGCAAAGCAGTTGAAGACTGCTCTGATGCTGGAGCCAATCCAGAAGCTTGCTGCAAAGCTGTGAATAGTGTATTGTTGTTGATATGGTCGTGAGGGGACGGCATGTCCATGTCCTGGCACTGACAGGGAGGAAATGCTACTGGAGATGGTGATAGAAGCGAAGCAAGGACAGATGTAACTCAAAGTGTGAGAAATTGTAGACAGTGCGGAAAGTGGAGTTCAAGGTTTGTGTGCAGAATTGTGTTAGAATCACGTGATATCAGCACATGACAAAAACTCCTGCTGAAAACTCAAATAGTCAGAAACCTGGGCTCACAGCAAAAATAAGTAGAGGTTTTCAAAACTTCCAAGCTTTTCTTTCCTGGCAGAGCTTACTTAAGCAGTGAGTTTTCAAAATCCAAAAAAACCGTGAAAACTCGGAGTTTTGAAAACTCAGAGATAACTGTATCTGCCATCCGGAAGAAAAGCGCGTTCGAAGACCGCGCAACAGAGTGGAAAGCTCGCCAATCATAAGCCTACACGTTGAAGATAGTCGTATAAGAACAGGGTCCATCACTCTAGCAAAAAGGATATTGCTACTTGCAGGGATCGAACCTGCGATCTACTCCGTTAGAAATGTTAGATTTTGTTGTAAAGGAGTTATCCTAACCACTAGACGAAAGCAGCCTGCCATTGTGTTTGTAGTGAAGGGCATACTGAATATATATACTATTGATGGGATGATTGGGGTGAGATTGGACGATCCCAACGCTTAAAATATGCGGAGGCAGGCGGGTTACAATGAATTGCGCTAGTTTAGTTGAAGTTGAAGGAGCCGTGACAAAGCAAAGAAGCAAAGCTTACGGCCGAGTGAATTTTTTTGCATCAGCTCCGCTCCGCACGCGCGCATGCGCACCGCACACACGCGTGTGGCGAAAGACGCGGGAACCTCTGGACTCGAGCTTGTACTTAAATTATCATCATCAAAATACAATACGCCACAACTATTTTACCTTGATCAATTTTATTTTTCCGTTCGATTCCATTATTCATCTTCAAGAGGTCGTGCTGGCCTCTGACTAGAGTCGAGCTAGAGTAGCACATAGTTCCTGCTGGCAGCTTACAAAGAACAAGACGGAATTGGCAAGAGTCGAATTAATATTGTACAAGAGTAATGCCGGAGTCCTACAAGAGTCGAGTTGGAGTCAAACAAGGCTCGAGCTGGCCTGGTAAAAGAGTCGTGCTGATCGGGCACAGCACTCGGCGCTAAATTGTCTGGAGACTATGGGGGCTACCAAAGCACTGAAAACTAAACTTTTTTTTGGCAGGGGCAAAAGCGCTGAAATCCAAACAATTTGCCCGGTTGAGACTCTGAGACAATTGACTTGGATGTAGGCTCGTATTTTTGCATGCCTTATTATTAACTCACTCGACACTGTCAGTCCCCTTGACCGTGCTCGTTACTTGACAGCTGAGGCCACGCTCACACTTATCTTTGAGGACAAATTGAAGTTCAGGCGCTTCAATGTAGAAGATCTGAACACGGCTATGAAGGAACGTGCAGAATGCCTGCCATTTCGAAACAGTGCTACATGTATGTGCTGCAGCTCAGGGCTTGCAGACAAAGGCTGAAAAGATATTTAGAACGTGCGCTTTTCTGCTAAGCTTGTCAAGAGGCTAGGCGGCTTCTGCAACGCTTGATCATACTGTGGAATTCCATGCGAGGCATTACAATGACGTTGGAGGGCGTGGCAAGGAAGTGGGCAGTTCGGCAGTGGACCTCTCTGACAAGGTATCTTGCTAAGGTGGCAAGGGTTCATATGACTCGGGATCGCTCTAGAAGACGGAGGAACCGTCTAGGCTCCAACTGCTCGACCTTCGCCGTAGCAGAGGAGGTCCAAACAGCTCATTAATCAAAAGTATTGCCTGTGTCCAACTTGTCCTGAGTCATGCTTTGGAGCCAGGTTAGGACAGGGATTCTGGAAGTCGTACGATACGTTTGATCGTCGTTCAAGGCGGGAAGGAACAGACGCACGGGCCTGCGGTTCCCGCGTTTGGCTGTGCTGATGCATCAACTCTTTTTTTTCCCATGTGAGCGCACGGACCGTTGATTGCGCTCTGCTGAAGGCGCCAAGCTTTTCAAGAGCTGTCAAATGTAGGCTGCGCTCACAGCCACGCACAAAGCCTAGATCCTTCGAACACGTTGGCGCATGCATCACTGAGCGGGTGTGAAAGTTTTTGGTGCGTTTAGTGTTCTTCTGAACGAGACGTCCATCACATGAAGGACGAAGCACTGAAAGAGCGTTTGCGACTTCTACGTCAAGGAAAGCAACCCGAAGCAGCAACCCCAAACAGTTCGTCTTCTCCTCCCCTCAATACATCTGCGCCGAGGACGAAACCTCGAACCGCAAAAGCGATCACACCACAAGGCTCAGCTACTTCTTCAACCTCACCAGAACAAGCCGATCCGGATCAAGACTTGATCGAACGGCTTCGCAAGCTTCATTCTCAGGACGCATCGCAGCCATCGAAAGCAGAACAGGTCCTGCCCATTCAGACAGAAGAGTCGCAACCTGTCAAGCCTCGCGACGAGCAAGACGAGATCGACGCTTTGATTCAGTTAACGCGAGATCAACTCGACCTGGAACAATTTACAGGAGACAACGTCTTGGACTCCTACGACGCCGACCCTGACCATCTCTCAGACTCGGACCTGGAACGAGACATCGACGCCGCCTATTGTCAACGCTGTTCGTGACGAACTTGCTCTCGAAAGACGCTCCGCTGCAACACCAACCCTTGAAGAACCTGAAGACTCAGAAGTGGCCGAACCACAAGATCAACCAACCATGGTGCGCTCCAATTCAGAGATCGAGCAAGCTCTTGCGGATGCCTCGCAAGACTCCGACTTCTTCGCTTCCAACAATGCCTCTATTGAGAACTCTCAGCCCCAGCCCGCTGCTGGTCCCTCCAAAGGCCGTCGCAACTTCCTCGACGGGCGCTTCTTCTTCGTGGCCATGGTCAGCTTGCTCATCATCGCCGTCTCCGCCGTACCAGGCGCTTACGCCTTCGGTGCTGGTAACATCCCCTCTTTCGCTTACATGGAGGGTAAGGCCTTCCGTCACGGTGATATCGAGGACATCCTCGAAGAGCTCGCCAAGAAGGTTGGTGGCTCGCTCTTCGGTTCGAGCAAGTTCGGCGGCTTGGACATCAAGCGCACCTACTTCGGTAACTGGCTGCGAGACTACAGTCAGGCCATGGACGTCGCTTCCTTGCAAAAGATGTCGAAGCAAGCTGTTCTCAACATCGTCATGGTGCTCGGCTTCTTGGCTCACGGCTACGCCACTGCCGAGTTCCAGGTTACAGACGAGAGACTCGGCGTGTACTTGCCCGAAGAGCACCTCGATAACCCTAAGGGCTACGCTGACGGCAAGGATGCTCGCGAGTACGATCCTCGTCTTCGTGAGCCTATCAACCCCGAAGAGCTTGAGATCGACTCCCGTTCTGGCATGAAGAACTACCTCGCCAACGAGAACGGTAACTGGCGAACTGGTTCAGGACTCATCCGAAAGACGCTTGTGCGTGTCATTGAAACTGGTCGACAAGCCCGTGACAGTGGACGAGATGAAGACATGTACGAGGCATACCGTCTTCTCGGTCAGGCACTTCATACTCTCGAGGACTTCCCCGCTCACAGTAACTGGACCGAACTCGCTCTCCACCGTCTTGGCCACCACAATGTCTTCCTTCACGTCGGTGACAATGTCAAGGTCCGTGCTCCTGACGGAACCCAGGTTGCGCCCATCGTTACTGGTACCTTCGGAAGCGCCGACTTCATCCATTCTCTCCTCGGTGAAGCTCAGGACCATCTCTCCGAAGCCTCGATTTCCGATCTCAACAAGGCCATGGACGACGCCAAGAGGAAGTCGAGCGGTACCAACCGCAGCCCCATCCAGGATCTTCTCGGAATGCTCGCCAAGGTCCCTGGTGGTGGAGGCGACAACGCCTCTCGCGACCTCGAGGATGTTTCGCGTGGACCCGTCTCGAACCCCGCCGACATGTCACCTCAAGAGATGTACGCCAACCTGTGGAAGATCCTCGAGCTCCGTGACCGCATCGTCAAGAGCATCGAAGGCACCATCGAAAAGATCCCCGGTCTCAGCAGTCTCGTGGAGAAGCTTTTCAATGAGCTCAACATCTTTGTCTTTACTCTCATCGAGCCTTACGCCAAGCCTATCATGCAGCAAGGTATGAACGCTCTCAAGATGGGTTCCGGTGCTGTCATTAACAAGCAGGAGCAGTTCGAGGTGTTTGACAACCCCAACGCCTCCGACCCCACCCACTCGATGCTTAGCAAGGACCACTTCGGTCTCATTCTTAACGAAGTTGCCGGCAACGTTGCCAAGATCATCGTCCGCAACACCGTCACCAAGGTAGTCAAGGCATGGGATGACCGTGTCCAGGACCCTCACCGGGTTGCTGATGAGTGTCTTGCTGTCATGTTCCACCCTTACTGGTTCAACGGCGCGGCTCAAGTCCAGAAGGAGATGATGGACTACGTTGCTGACTGGGCTAGGAACCACTCGACCGAGATCGGACGTCTTAGCAAGCAAAGCGTTCGTGCTCACTCCAACACTCGCAGTGGTAAGGCCGAGCCTCACACGCACGGTGACGACCAGCCCAACATGGGCTCCTTCATGGGCGGCGGAAACAGTCAGGCAGCACACAACTTTGGTGGCAGCCATCACTACGGTGGCGGTGGAGGTGGATACCCAGGCAACAACAGCGGAGGTGGAGGTGGCAGCAACAGCATTGGGTCGCAAATGGCTGGTTATGCTTCCAACTACGTTTCCAACCAGGTCCACGGCTTTGTCGGGAGTCACGTTCCTGGTGGAGGCAACTTCCCTGGAGGACAGGTCTTCCGTGAAGGCCCTGGTGGTGATGGCGACAACTACGGTCGTCGAGAGGCTTCTGGCCGCTACGATGGTGGACGTCGTGAAGGCTCTGGAGGGTACGATGGAGATCGTCGTGAAGGCTCTGGCTATGATAGGCCTTCGTTTCCTCAGGCCGAACCTACTGGACATGATCGATACCGCACCCAGGAATACCCGGGTCAGGGAGGATATGCTCCTCCTGGTGGTCCACCTCCTGGTCAGGGGGGATACGACGCTCCTCCCGGCGGTTATGGTCAACAGGGCTATGGCCAGCAGCAGCAGCACCCTCCTCCCGGAGGATATGGTCAGGGTGGATACAACAACAACAACCATGGTGGAGGATATGGAGGCGGGTACGGAGGCGGGTACTAAACTGTGGGAAGCTGAGCGTCCAGCTTTGCTGATCTCCTTTTGAGCTCTCTAGGCTGCGTCGGGCGCACTCCTTTACTCCACGGAGCATGTGAAGCCTGCGATTGTACGATGTCTACGAGTCGAACGCAACATGTCTACTTTTCGAATGACTCGGTTGAGGTCAAGCCTGTGATTTGCAGCGTGTGAAGCTCCTCCGCTTCAAAACGAAGTGAGCTTGTTGTGAGCAGAACTCTCGAGAGCTATGTTACGAAGTCCCACGAATGAAGGGCCTCAGTCTCATCAACAAGACTCGTCATATCGTTGTGAGCTTCGCAACTTGCTTCCGCAGGCAGACGGAGCGCTGCTGGGCAAGTCAACACATTCGCAACTACCACAAGCAAT